AAAAAAAAAAGAGCTAGCGATTTAGAGCCGTATCAGAGACGGCCAACAGCTGCGAGGCATCGACGATGAAACTGGCCGTGCGCTCATGAAACCGCTGTGCAGCGTCTGGGATTCGAGCTGCGCGCTCTCTCTCTCTTGCAAGGTCCGCTTGCATTGTCCGCACCCACTGCCCCTCTGCCTCTCCGAGTACGGTATGTCGGACCTGATCTCCGACGAGACACGTCCGTGCACTCGTGCGTCAAGCACGGTCTGCAGCTGCCCAAGACTGGTCAGTCGTGTCTCAGGAAGAACCACGACAGCTGTCCGAGTCTATCTTTGATTTTGAGCTCTGGGCTGACTGTGCGGAAAGGTCTCGTCCCTGTCTTGCCTCACAGCGAACCGTGCGATCTAGCATGCCATGAACGTGCGCAATCACGACCTGACCCTCGAACAGACCTTTGAATCCTATCGGCCTGGGCCGTCGTAAGCTCACCCTCCGGGTCAGCCGACAGAATCCTGCTGCGTCGGAGAGCCCAGAAAAGGCATGCAGAGGAGCTTTTTCGCCCGACCGGAGCGCGCAATGAAAATCCCAAGCCACTGCGATTGCGCCACCTTTTTCAGCTGAATTTAGAGTGGGGGTGGCTGGCAGGAAAAGAAAGAGAAAAGACAGACAAAAGTCTGATGTCCGAAATCGCTCCGGCTGGGCAGGTCGCAAAAGCGCGAGGATTCGGACAGCGACGCTACGGCGCCATCGCCCTTTCGACAAGGCCCCGGTGCCATTGGTGTGCATTGCAGCTGCTCGGTTGGCTTTGCATGCAGGATTCGGCTGGATTCGGAGTCGAGGAGGTTGCAGCCCTGCTCGCTCTCACCCGAGAGCCTCTGTTCAGCGCCACCTTGGCCAAGGACGGAGAAGCAGCAAGCGTTGCAGCCGAGTCGCACTTCAACAGCACGCCCGAATCGCCCAGCAAGGATTGCAGCGTCCTGTCGCCTGACCGATTGCCTGATCAGTCAAGCTGGTAGCTCAAAAGCCCATCGTTTGATCCAGACCGACGAGCGACAATGGCGGCAGACGTTGTGGCACAAGCAAGCCACAGTACTCGGCATCGAGACGACCGTAGCACCGATCCAATACCGGTCTGGAGACGTCGATCACAATGAGTGCGGAGAATCGGGGAGGACGGTGTTGGGAGAATGGCGTTCCCAGCACTGACATCGCGATGAGATCATCTGTCTCCCTACGATCTGTGGAGAGGTCCCGCGGCGGCCTTGAACAATTGAATTCCCGACCGGCGAGCGACACGGGCCGAGCGACGAGGCTCTAACACGCGCAAAAGGAGGGGCACAGCAAGAACAGTGTCACTCGATTCTGCATGTATCGTGTGGCTTGTCGAAAGAGAGGACGGCGGTTGAGGTCTAGCTCTCGGACGCCACCGTTTGCGGTCCATTCCTCTGCGCACAAGGTTCAATCATTCGGGCTAAGCGAGACCAACACGCAAACGTCAAGTGGCGATGGCACCTCGCGAGAGAGCAGGGAAAGGAAAATCTCCAACTGGAAAGGTCGCCGGCGCAGACGTCCCGGCCGTTCACACGGCTGAAACGCTGGCGCGCGCTGTCACTCTGACAGTCAGAACGAATTCAGACCAACTCAGTCCACCACGACAGCCACCTTGTGATGGTTATCTGACACGGCCTACCGGCGTCTTCCGTTGGCAGTATCAAGGTAACGGGATCGAAAGAGGATCGGTGCGATTGAGTGGACCGGTCTGTCAAAAATGCCTCTCGAGCCTCGGTATCATAGGACTGTATCGGGCGCTTCATTGGTTTCTTGCGATCGGAACTCAAGCGGAAGGAGACGAGTGATGCCCAAGCGCTTGCGAGCAGCCGCCAAGCAGGCTGTTGCAAGCGTCCGATCCAGTATGTCGATAGTAGCGCTTCGTGAGAGACTGCGGAGGTCGGCGAAGCGGGAGGGTCATCGGCAATCAGACGCATGCTCGCAGAGATCTCGATGAGGACCGAAGGTATCCGCCCCGCGGGCGCTGCCGAGGATGGCCATAGGGTGCCCACGACGTGTGTCATCGTGATGACCGTTTGGCAGTCACGCACGGAGATTCGAGAGATACTGCAACCGAGCTTTCCTGCGGGCCGCACAAGGCCAGCATCGCTCTTCGGCATTCGAAAGAGCCGCCAGCGAGACGCCCATCTTTGACATCGCCATCGGAAAAGCGGGCCAGCGGCCGAGCGAATTTGACCTGGACCGCTTACGCCACTCCATCAAAAGCCGCGTCCCTTGTGCTTCATATCGACGTCAGGCTCTTGTCCAACCTCACGGTGTCCTCCCAAGCAGATGTCGCAGTCTTTTCGCAGCCTCGCAGGCACCATCGGCCAGCCTCAGCAATGACAGCTGCAGTCCTGCAGCTCAACAGAAGTGTAGCAAGCGGCGAAAGTGCGCGATAGAGCAGCCCTTTCCCGATCATTGCACGAGACTTGCATCTACAATCAAGGAGCCAAAGATTTGAGCAGGCGATAAGGCGAAGCCGACTCGACCGAGGGGCGAAGCCCAAGCATGGCAAGTGGGAGGAGGGTCAGGAGAGAGCATCCGGCTACCGGGATCCAAGCTGTTGCCGGAGACACGAAGAGGGCTGGGGTTGCGGAGCAGTCGTCGGGGGAGAACTGCAGGCCTTTTGCCTTGTCGTCCAGGCCGCAGTAGCTGGCCCCGGGGCATTGTGACGATCGAGCCTCACCACTTGGTCGGTTCCGGGCCCGGTGCCTTGAAGACGAGCGGCGGTCGCTTCATGAACCGACGCGCATCGGAAGAGCGCACTTCCGCATAAGCGAGGCAACCATCAGAGAGTGCTCTCAGCCAGCAGGCAAGAGGACGAAGAGTAACCTCACCTCACAGACTGCAACTGTGGGTCGGAGCATGAACTCGAGCATCCAGGAACTCGAGCATGCAGGTCCGTCTAAAGTGGGTCTTTGGAGGAAAAGAGGGTGAAAGGCAGAGCAGGCTTACCAGCTTGAATTCAGGAATTTCAGACGAGCGGCAACGCTGCAGCGGAATCTGAACTTGATTCCGACCTGGGGGAGAAAGCGTGGACGATCGGTCGTGCTTGCCAGCAGAGCAAATGTGCAAAGTTTCAAGCTGGCTGCAAAGGCAAAAGAGGGTCAAAGATCAGCCATGAGTTAGAAGCGGCGCGGGGTCTCGCTTCCTCAGCCGAGGCGGGCAAGCAAACAGGCATGTGCACACCAACTCAGACGAGCCGACCTTACACACATCCAGAGACCGCTCCCGCCGAGCGACGATGAAGGCAGTCCCAGTGCGAGGACAGGTCCGCTGTGACGCCCACCATCGAGCAGCAGCAATCGCCTTTCGAAAATGAGCGGCCCGCCTGCAATCGCTTTTCATTTCGAGCCTTGACTTGCAACTCCGTTCTGCGCCAGGATCGCCCTTGCCCACGGTCGATCTCTATCTTGCGGCCCAGACGCACCATTCGGCTGCACTTGCGTCCAATGCAGACGACCAACAGACGTCCGAGCGAACTCACTTCTCCCACAGGGTTCGTAGCGACCAGCGAGGTGCGACTGTGGGCAAGCGGTGTAGACCTGCCGGTACTACAAGCGAAAGCGAAGACTTGCAGCACGTGGCTCCGTACCCGTACAGCTGTAAGTTGGTTTGCGCCTTGGCTGCAAACTGCAATGTACTGCACTGCAGCATGACGGCGGACAGTGTGCTATTCGTGGTACGGTGTCAAGCCGAGCCTAGCGGTGCGTCGATGGCATGCAGCGGGCCGACTCTTTTCTTGCTGCACGCCATCGAACTCCTCGGGCGCCCAGACGCGTAGGAGCGTGTCGCCCACGCGTCAGGATGGGTGTTGGTCTCAGAGCAACCGAGGCGATCGAAGCAGCGGGCAAATTGGAAAATGAAATCAAATGAAGTCAGGAACGCGTGGGCACACAGACGAACCAGCCATGGCCTGGCTTCCGCCACCCAAAAAAAAAA